TTTTTTTTTTTTTTGAGACAGAGCCGTACTCTGTCGCCCAGGCTGGAATGCAGTGGCGTGATCTTGGCTCACTGCAACCTCTACTTCCTGTATTCAAGTGATTCTCGTGCCTCAGCCTCCTGTATAGTGAGGACTACAGGCGTGCACCACACACAGCTAATTTTTGTATTTTTATATTTAGTTTTTAAATTTTTTTTTCTTTTCCTTCTGGGTTCGAGTGATTCTCATGCCTCACCTCCTGAGTAGCTGGGATTATAGGTACACACCACAATGCCCGGCTAATTTGTTTTGTTTTGTTTTGTTTTGTTTTTTTGAGACGGAGTCTGGCTCTGTCCCCCAGGCTGGAGTGCAGTGGTGGGATCTCGGCTCACTGCAAGCTCCGCCTCCCGGGTTCAAGCGATTCTCCTGTATCAGCCTCCTGAGTAGCTGGGACTATAGGTGCATGCCACCACGCCTGGCTAATTTTTTGTATTTTTAGTAGAGACAGGGTTTCACAGTGTTAGCCAGGATGGTCTTGATCTCCTGACCTTGTGATCTGCCCGTCTCGGCCTCCCAAAGTGCTGGGATTACAGGCATGAGCCACCGCACCCGGACAATTTTTGTATTTTTAGTAGAGATGAGGATTTGCCGTGTTGGCCAGGCTGGTCTGAAAGTCCTGGCTTCAAGTGATCCGCCCACCCTGGCCTCTTAAAGTGCTAGAATTATAGGCATGCGCCACTGTGCATGGCCTGGACGCTGGGTTTTAAAGACTTTCAGAATTTTAACAAAAATTGGAGTCCCAACAGAGAACTGCTAACTTTATTTTTGGCAAGATAAGGACATTTTTTAAACTGCTATTTATTATTATTATTTTTTTTTATTTATTTATTTTGAGATGGAGTCTCACTCTGTCACCTGGGCTGGAGTGCAGTGGCTCGATCTCGGCTCACTGCAACCTCCGCCTACCTGGTTCAAGTGATTCTCCTGCTTCAGTCTCCCGAGTAGCTGGGATTACAGGTGTCCGCCACTATGCCCAGGTAATTTTTTGTATTTTTAGTAGAGATAGGGTTTCACGATGTTGGCCAGGCTGGTCTCGAACACCTGACCTCGTGATTCACCCACCTCAGCCTCCCAAAGTGCTGCGACTATAGGCGTGAGCCACCATGCCCGGACACAATTATTTTATTTTATAACTTTAGAGATGAAGTCTTGCTGTGTTGTCTGGACTGTTCTGCAGCTGGCTTCAAGCGATCCTCCTGCCTCAGCCTCCCAAAGTGCTGGGATTACAGGCTTGAGCAACGGTGCCCAGCCAAAGGGTGTTTTTTTAAATTTTTGCACCATTCTCTCAAAGAGCGCTGGTGTTTTGATAGCATTCCTCAAATAGCATTTTAAGGGGCTCGAGGATTGGAGAATGGAGAGGACATCACTCGTGCCTGGATCATCAAGAGTAATGCTGCCGCCCCCCGTCTCTACTAAAAAAATACAAAAACTAGCCGGGCGAGGTGGTGGCACCTGTAGTCCCAGCTACTCGGGAGCTGAGGCAGGAGAATGGCGTGAACCCGGGAGGCGGGAGCTTGCAGTGAGCTGAGAATCCGGCCACTGCACTCTAGCCTGGCAACAGAGGAGACCTCCATCTCAAAAAAAAAAAAAAAAAAAAAAAAAGAGTAATGCCGCCCACCTTTATCTACATATGGGGCTCTGGTTCCAAAGCAATAAATGTTGAAAATAGCTAGCCTGGGCGACATTCACAGTGAGACCCTTCTCTACAAAAAAAAAAAAAATCAGCTGGGCATGGTGGCTCACGCCTGTAATCACAGCTACTCAAGTGCCGCAATAAACCATGATCACGCCATTTCACTCCAGCCTGTCACAGAGTGAGACCCCTGTCTCACAGAAAAAAAAAAAAAAAAAAGCTGATGGTTTTGGGAATCAGACAGATTTGGACTGAAGTTCCTGTTTGTTCTAAACTCAGAAAGTTTAAAACAACCTCTCTGAGCCCCTGGAAGGTAGTAACTACTTCAAAAGATGCTGTAAAGATTACAAATACTAATATAGAACACACGTCTAGCCTTTACCAGTTGTTTAATGTAGCTATTAAGAATAGGTTGGTTTTGCCGGCCATAGTGGTTCACACCTGTAATCCCAGCACTTTGGAAGCTGAGGTGGCAGATCGCCTGAGCAGGAGTTTAAAGACCAGCCTGGCCAACATGGTGAAACCCATCTCTACTAAAAATAAAAATTAGCCAGGCATGATGGCGTGCGCCTGAAGTCCTAGCTACTGCAGGAGCGCTGAGCAGGAGAATCACTTGAACCTGGGAAGCTGAGGTTGCAGTGAGCCAGATCACACCCACTGCACTTCAGCCTGGCGACAGTGAGACTCCATTTCAAAAAAAAAAAAGGGGGCCGGCATGGTGGCTCACGCCTGTAATCCCTCCCAGCACTTTGAGAGGCCAAGGCGGGCAGATCACCGAGGTCAGGAGATCGAGACCATCCTGGCTAACGTGCTGAAACCCTGTCTCTACTAAAAATGCAAAAAAAATTAGCTGGGCGTGGGGGTGAGGGCCTGTAGTCCTAGCTACTCAGAGGCTGAGGCAGGAGAATGGCATGAACCGGGAGGTGGAGCTTGCAGTGAGCTGAGATCGTGCCAGTGGACTCCAGCCTGGGTGACAGAGCAAGACTCCGTCTCAAAAAAAAACGGCGTGGTGGCTCATGCCTGTAATCCCAGCACTTTGGGAGGCAAGGCGGGTGGATCACGAGGTCAGGAGATCCGAGGAA